CTTTTTTTTGCAAGTGAACCCAGCACTTTTTTTTTTTTACTTTGAGACAGGTTCTCACTGAGTTGCTGAGGTTCTAAGTTGCTTGGGCTTGCCTAGAACTTGGAATCCTGCCTCAGCCTCCCCAGTGATTTACAACTGATGACAGATGTACATCACTGTGCCTGGCTCTCTTCTTAGAAGGACACATAATCAACACATTGTTTGGGCTTGCCCTCTGACCTCCTCCAAACCTCATCACCACCCACAGGCCCCACCTCCAAACAGCATCACATTGAGGGCTTCAAGGTATGAGGTTAGGAGGGCACCAACATTCAGTCCATAACCTCTAGATTTCTATTTCTCATAAGTTATCATTCAGGTGAATTTTCAAGCCGGAAACAAGTTTTGTGATTTTATTAGCACTTGCTAAGAAAAATACTATATCATTTTATGAAATGAAGGTGTTGAGAAATAAAATGACTCGGGCTTGCTGTTAAGTTCTTTAACATTCTTTTATGTTTGAAGCAATTGCTAAGCATGCAGACTTTTTAGGGTTTTGGTGAGGTATGATGAATGTATGTGATTTACTCCTAAATGGAGCCCTAGGTGGTTGTCCCCAAGGCTCCAGGATGGTCTCCTAGAGTTCCTTTTGGCCCTAGTCCCTGTGTCTACTCTGAAGAGAACTTGTAGTTCCATGCATTTGGTCTCTTTTTGTTCCRTAAGAACTCTGTTCTGGCTCTGCCTGTGCTGATTTACAGAACATGTAGCACATGGAAGGCAGTACATTTGTCTAAACACATCCAAATTTAATTCTACTTTTTCTTTTTTCTTTCTTTTCTTTTTCTCCCTGCAGTGAGAATTTGACCTCTTCGTTAATACAGGTCTTAAAAGTTGTTCTTTCTGTTTTGCAGATTCGTAACCAGCTTAACCAGGAACAGAATTCAAAACTCCAGCAGCAGAAGGAACTCTTAAATAAGCGCAACATGGAGGTGGCCATGATGGACAAGCGAATCAATGAATTGCGTGAACGTCTTTATGGCAAAAAAATCCAGGCATGTGAAAGAGAAAATGTCTGTGAGATAAACCTGAAAAAGTAGCTCATCTACAAATGCTAATCTCACTAAATGGCCCTTACTTGCCACAGMTGATCAGACAAAACTGGCTATAAGCCCATGAGAGCAGAGCAGGTGCTGATAGCAAGGATGTCTTCCTAGAGTTCCCATACGTATACTAAGTGATTGATGCTTTTGTGGTATGGTGGCAGTGTCTTCTTGTCAGCCTCTGCTATACTGAAGGATGCTGTGAGGAGGCAGGCATGGATGTCAGGGCCTTCCCTGGGCGGATGGGTGTGGAAGATGGTAGAGGAAGAGGGGAGCTGCCGTTCCACAGCAGAATCCATCTTTTACTTACGCTTCTACCCTTCTTTCAACCCAAGCTTGAAAGTCAGTAGTTTGTGTAACTATGATTTCAGATGATAGTTTTCCTTTTTCTCTCTTACCAATAGCTCAGGCCATAGGTGAGAGGATTCATGCATTGCTCCACACTGAGTTACATGGCAGAACTTTAGTAATGGTGTGATGTTCAGGGTTTCTCAGAGAAGTAGAATCCGTAGTGTGCATGCATGTGTGTGTGACTGTGTGCGTGTGTGTAGAGAGAGGGATTTATCTCCAGGAGTTGGTCATGTGAACATGGAGTCTAGCAATTCCAAAATCTGCATGCTAGGCCTGCAGCCTGCAGGCCCAGGGGGAGTTGGTGTTGCAGCTCACGTTCAAGGCAGTCTATTCTAGCACCCCCTTCTTCTGGGGGATCCTCAATCTTCTTTTAAGGCCTTCCACTGACTGGGTGTGGTCCACCTTCCCATGGAGAATCATCTACGTTACTCAGAGTGCATTGATATGAATGTTAATCTCCTCTAAAAACCAAAACTCTGATAACATCCAGACTCCTATTTAGCCAAGTCTCTGGGCACCGGAGCCAACCAAGTTAAAGCATAAAATTAACCATCAAAATGTCCTTATCTGGGCTGGGGTTGTGGTTCAGGGTAGAGTGCTCACCTAGCATGGGCAAGGTCCTGAGTTTGGTCCTCAGCACCATGTAAGAATAAGTAAATAAATAAAAGACATTGTGTCCATCTACAACTAAAAAATAAATATTTAAAAAAAAAACCCAAAAAACAAAAATGTCCTTATTCCTTTTATCTGCTGCTCCAGCAGATCTCTGAGAAGCCAGTCAGTGCTTCTGCAGAGATGTGCCTCCCCCTGAAGGTCCTAAGTATTCTGAGCAGTTATGAGAGTCTTGAATCCTCTCACCATAGTGACACATGCAGACGGTAGTAGGAGGTTGTGGACCTCCACAGAAGGTGTACCTAGGGACCCTAAGGATTCGGGCCTTTTTGTTCTTGTGCAGTATTTTGTAGCCAGTATCCTCTGTCTGTCCTTGCTTAGAAAGGCACAGCTGCCCTCAGAGAACCAGACTCACCATCAGGAGTCAGAGCCTCACCTGGGCACCTTGCCTCTTGTCCTAGGGCACCTCTCATTCTGAATTTATAGGCAGAGGCTCAGTCACTAGCCCAGGGCAGCACAGTAAGTGGGGAGCAGGATTTGAAACAATGCTTGGAGCACAGGCTTTGACAAGTGCCTCTGCCCACCCAGGGGAGAGAACATGTCCCCAGGACGAGGGAGGTCATTGTGGTCCTTGGAAGCTATGCTGTCATCACATTGGTCCCTGCTTTTGTAGCTCTCCAGGGTGGCTATTACTGGAAAGAATGACTCCCACACTTGGGGTCCAGTGAACTGAAGGATTAGTGTTTTTTTTATTTTGCAGTATCTTAACTCTTCCATTTCCTCCTGATTTACAGTTGAACCGTGTGAATGGCACATCATCACCGCAGTCTCCCCTGAGCACATCTGGCAGGGTTGCCGCTGTGGGGCCTTACATCCAAGTTCCAAGTGCTGGAAGCTATCCTGTCCAAGGGGACCCTATAAAGCCCCAATCTCTAACTATTGCCTCAAGTGCTGCCCATGGGAGATCTAAATCTGGTGAGTGGCCCAGGCCCTCTATTGGGGGAAGTGCTGGAGTAGGGTAAGGCCCTGAAGCCCTGCCTCCACACCAGACCCCAGGCTGTCCCCTGAGGGGCTTGGTCTTCTGGACAGTGTTTGAGCAGTTAGTTGTGTGTCATTGTGATAATGATGCTCCCAAAACAAAAGTGAGTTACTCTTATTCATCTGAGGTCTTCATTGACATTTCAAAACAAATGGTTGAATAAAACACTGCTTTGTGTGCCCTGAGGGCTCCAAGCACAGCTGTGGCCAGGTAGAGACCACTGCCCTTTAGACAGTGTTTTAGCTTGTCTTTACTTTCCCTACTCAGCTAATAGGTCTTCCTTGATCAGAAAGTCCACAAGCCATTACTCTCATCTTGGCACAGTAGTGCTGTGTCATGAGCCCAGGCAGGCTTGTGTAGAGAGCACCATGCAGCATAGCTGGGCACCAGGTGGGTTCTGCATTGACAGTCTGTCTTTTAAATCCACCACATTAAAAATTTGGAGCTTCTAGCCAGGCACCATGGTGCACACCTATAATTCTGGCAACTCTAGAGGGTAAGGTAGGAAGAATACATGTTCAGTACCAGCCTCAGCAACTCTATGAAACCCTGTCTCAAAATTAAAAAGGCTAGAAATGAACCACGTGATACATACCTTAATTTCAGCAGCTCAGGAGGCTGAGGCAGGAGGATCACAATTTCAAAGCCAGCCTCAGCAGCTTAGGTCCAAAGCAACTTAGCGAGACCCCGAAAAAGGTCTGGAAATATAGCTCAGTGGTTAAGTGTCCCTGGGTTCAAACCCCAGTATTAGAAAAGGGTGGTGGTGGCTGGGGATGTAGCTAAGCAGTAGAACACTCTTGGCTCAGTCCCCAATACAAAAATAAGAGAAAGAAGTTGGGGCTCTTTTACAGTAGAACTTTCTTTATGACTCAGGTTGACTCGTCTTCCTATAACACAATGTCAGGAGGTCAAGTCCTGACACACTGGGACATCTCTTCATTTATGAAAGCAGTGCTGCTGCTTGTTTGCTGTTGTGTCCTGTTTTCAGGATTGGTGACTGATATGTGCTGGTTTTTTGTTTGTGACACTTGCTCCTACTTGGCACCTAATAGTGATACAGTGATACATCTGCTGCTCCCACTGGGAGGCTCAGGGCTCCATCTGAACCAGCAAGTCCTTGGGCGCCACAGCCCCTGCTCAAATCCCTCCGAAGCCCTGATCACAGTGGTGTTCTTTGATGAGCTTTTGCTTATGGTTTGAGCCACCCTGTCTGTGGGAGGAGTGGCTGTCTGTGTCAGTGCAGGTAATGAGCACAGCCAGCTCCTTCCAGCTGAGAAAGGCTCCCATGCCCTCCCCTCTCTGTGTTGTGCTGCCTTACCAGCTTGCTGGAAGAAGACAGCCTTACAGAGCCCTGGCCTCAGTCCTTCCACTGTGGTGTAAAGCGACTGGACCCAGGAAACCTGAGTCCACCCAAGCTGGGGGCAGAATTTCACACATGGAGCTGGGACATGAAATCTCCGTGTGGGGACTCTAACCCCTTGCTGTTGGCTGTCCTGGTTCTGTGTCGCACAGATGGCCACAGTAGATCCAGAGTGACCAGCGCGTGGACAGTGTCAGACCTGGACGTCAGGCTTGACTGCAGCTCCTTGGGGCACTCTGCAAGCCCACTCGTAAAGCGTATGTGGGCTGACGGGCTTAGCGGGGTACTTTTGATCTCCTTTCACACAGACTGAATCAACAATCATTTGTTTTTCCAAACTGACAACGGGCATGACTATGGGTCAGGCTGGCTCCATGTTCATCACATCTGGACATAGAAACAGCACTGTGCAAATAGGTGTCTCTTCCCAGGCAGGTGTGGAGTTAGGCCCCAGGCCCAATCACTGGCCAGGAGAGTTGGACACCAAGTTATAGGCCCTGCCACACAGGGTTTTGGTTATGGAGAGTGTTTGTTTGCTTCTTTTTCAAAAGTTAATATGAGGACATGGGATATCACTGAGTTGGTAGAGTGCGCACAAGGCCCTGGGTTCAATACCCAGCACCACCCAAAAAAAAAAAAAAAGTTAACATGATTTTGAGTTCATGATGAGGCTTTCAGTTTTATGTTCAGTGCAAGAATCTCCCATCACAATGAAAAGTATTACAGTAATAAGAAGCAGCATCTGGCCTTTTGTGCCTCCAGCTCTGTCCTCAGGAAAGGAGATTACTTCATAATTTCATAAAAACTTCCATTGCTGTGGGCTTTCAGAAGCCACTGAACATCCACGTGCCCTCAGTGACCCTGAAAGGATAGAAATCCAGGTCCCTTGGCTGGCACCTGCCCCTTCTGCTTGACTCACAGGGTCTCAAGTGGGCTCTGCTTTTCCCCGCCAGCACAGAATGCTCCTCTCAGAGGACACTGAGAGGATGGAGGCACACGCATGTGTGGTCTGCAGGAGGCTGACAGCTTGTGCTGGCCCAGATGCTGGCTGAGGCCTGGTGGCTTGGCTGGTGCCCTCAGCCCTGTAGGAATCATTCAGCAGCACCACTGTGGGTCAGGCTGGCTCCAGAGCAGCCTGTGTGTGGCTTGCTGCACTCAGACTGTGCCAGAGCACATTTGGGAAGCTTACTCTTCATGTTTTGGCTCATTTTTGGCATGAAGACAAATAGTTGCCTGTGCTTCTTAGTTACCCCTCCTACTTATGCTGATTTCTGCCCATCCCAAACTGCTGGTGGCTAGAGCAGTCTCCGCGTCAGAGCAGTTCAGCACCTTGCCTGTTGAAGCGAAGTAGGTATCCACTCAGGGTACACATCTGTGATCCATAGATGCCATGACACACACAGGTCATGGTGTGTGGCCCTACATGACTAGGGAGCACCTCTGCACCCTTTTTCAGTTTGGAAAATGCTCTATAAAAACATAAATCTTTTCAGTGGCTTTCCTGGAAACTTGGGGATGATGACGGCTTTCTAATCACTGCAGCACTCAGTGGGAACTGTGCTGGCCTCTTGTGATTGCAAATTATTTTAGCAGAAAAGACTTCCTCACTAAAGGAGAAACTTGATTGATCATGCTACTAGTATAGGTCAAACCTGTTAGGAAATCAAAAGATAAATCTTTAAGAATTAAAAAAAAAAAGATCTTTTTTTTTATTGCTGAATGCAATTGTATTTATAAACAGTGTTCAAAAGCTAAGTGCTGGTTCTTGCTTTATTCTGTGGGTTTAATGGACTTGACCTGTACTACAGTGGGTGTAGCCTGTCCTACACCAACCTTAGTTTAGCATGGTCTTTGAGTTGCTAGCCTTGCTGGCCACACTGGCCAGGAGTTACCCACAGAGGATGCCCCTGGGCTTGTTCACAGGCCTGTGGGGGTCTGTGCGGATCAACAGCTCCATGTGCCAGATGGTGGTTGTCCACTTGGTTAACAGAGCTCCCTCAGAATGTGAAGTCCCAGTGCTATTTTTATTTCTGGCAAGGTGTACTTTTAGGTTGGTTCAACTAATATCAAGAAAAATTTCACTTAAATTCTGTGCTCTTTTCAAGCTAATGATGGAAGCTGGCCAACATTAAAGCAGAATTCTGGCTCTTCGATGAAGCCGGCGCAGATGGCCAATGTGGATTGGAAGGACCCAGGCGTGGAGGGGGCTCTAAAGCAGGGTGCAATCTCAAGCCAGCCTCTGCCCTTGTCTGCACTGGGAGCCACAGAGAAGATGGTAGGCCATCTGTACTAGGAGTTGAAGGACCAGCCCCTTCTGCCTTAGTCATACTCAGAATTTGAGGCAAATTAATCCACATTACCCCCAGAATCCTAGAGTCACTACACCTTTAAGTGCACATGACTTTTGCCTCAGTTTTGCAAATGATGAGCCCAACAGTGTTCCCTGTGTCATAATCACAAGCTGATTTGAAGGATTTCAGATCTTACTGTGTATTCTTTTGCAAGTATGGGTATAAATGTACTTCACTTTTCAAAGGGTGACTTTGTTTTTCTTCTCAACACCTAAATTTAGGGTGTGGATATTGGTAAAGGACCACCTCCCATCCCTGGTGCAGGCAAGCCGCTGCCTCCAAGCTATGGAACATACCCAAGTCCTGCACCCCTGGGCCCAGGATCAGCAAGTTCCCTGGAGAGGAGGAAAGAAGGCAGCTCACCCAGACCCAGTGCAGGCCCACCCAGCCGGCCGAAGCCTGCCCCGCTGCCCCCTACAGCCAGTGTCCCACAGCCAGGCTCCTCACAGCAGATCCAGCAGAGGATTTCTGTGCCTCCAAGTCCTACATACCCGCCAGCAGGGCCCCCTGCCTTTCCAGCTGGAGATGGTAAACCCGAACTCCCACTGACGGTGGCCATTAGGCCCTTCCTGGCTGATAAAGGATCAAGGCCACAATCTCCCAGGAAAGGACCCCAGACGGTGAATTCAAGTTCCATATACTCTGTGTACCTCCAGCAAGCCACACCACCTAAGAATTACCAACCAGCAGTGCATGGCACCTTAAACAAGTCAGTTAAAGCAGGTATGATGAGTTTATCCCCTCCTCGGGGGGCTAGGAAGTTATACTCTAATTAAGAAAGTACAGATTCACATCCTGACATTGGAGCCACTTGCTGTTTAGGTTAAAGCAAAAGCTTACATTTCTTACATACATCTCTCCGTGGGTGTCGGGTGGATGAGTGGGCGCTTTGCTGCTCTGACTACCTTTCTGACCACCCTCCCACACTACGTGGAAATCCAGCTTCTAGAAGGGTGAGATTCTAGGAATTTTGTTTTTCTTCCTGCTTTGTAGAAACTTGTGCTAGAAGCTATCTGGTGAGCAGAGGCCAGGGGTAAGCCTTGACCAATGCCTTCTGGGCTTCCTCTCTGTGACTAAGCCAGACCTGGGTGTGGGTGAGTTGAGGAGGGTGTTACTTCTTTGGAGCCCCCCCAGCCCATGGGGGAGAAAAGCTGTGGGGGTGGGTGAGGCCCTTCTAGGAAAGCAAATGAAAGAATGTAGTTCAGTGCCATACACCCTGAGCTGAAAGTGCCTCTGACCCTCGCAAGAGGGTCCTTTGGGCCAGATCTGGGTTGGGCTGCCTCAGGTGTTCTCAGGCTCTGACTGCAGTGTGCAGACTCATAGTTCTTGGGTTCCTGGGTGTGCCCAGGACCTCCCAGGTGGCATACAGTGTTATCAGTGGGCAGGATTCTGGCTCCTGGGGAAGCTCCTAGGCTACCAGGTCCCACCTTCCTGCTCCAGGAGCCAGTGTCCTCACGTTGTCTTGTCTAAGGCTCACACATGAGTGTAGCAACTTTATTCTTTCCCTTAGCTGGAAAACAAAGCAGGCTTGTTGAAGGCAGCAAGTCAGATCAGCAGCCTTTTTTGCCTTTGAAAAAACTCATTTCTAGGAACCTCAATATAAAAGCCACTACACTGGAGATTCATCTTGCAGAAGGAGCCAGAGGAGGTTCTTGTAAGAGAAGATTTCCACAGGGTTTAAAATCAGAATCCTCAACAGCAGTAGGAACCCATCTCTGATGGAGTAGGTGCTTAGGGACTAGCCCCAAGACCCAGCAGCCAAGTTGAAATTGTGCCCTATCCTCTGTCTCTCTTCCAGTGTATGGCAAGCCTGTCCTACCATCCGGGTCAACATCTCCTTCGCCCTTACCCTTCCTTCATGGGTCACTGGGCATAAGCACCTCACAGCCTCAGCCATCTTCAGAATGTGCTGAGAAAGAGCCAGAGCAGGAGGGCCCTGCTGCACCTGGAGAGGGCAGCTCGGTGGAGAGCCTGCCTCGGCCACTCAGCCCCACCAAGCTCACACCCATCGTGCACTCACCGCTGCGCTACCAGAGTGATGCGGACCTGGAGGCCCTGCGCAGGAAGCTGGCCAATGCACCCCGGCCCCTGAAGAAGCGCAGCTCCATCACAGAGCCAGAGGGCCCCAGTGGACCCAACATCCAAAAGCTGCTGTACCAGCGCTTCAACACCCTGGCTGGTGGCATGGAAGGCACCCCTTTCTACCAGCCCAGCCCCTCACAGGACTTTGTGGGCACCTTGGCTGACGTGGACAATGGAAACACCAACACCAATGGCAACCTGGATGAATCTACTTCTGCCCAGCCCACGGCCCCACTCCCTGAGGAGCCTGCCCCATCCTCAGATGCCAACGATAATGAGCTACCTTCCCCTGAACCTGAGGAACTCATCCGTCCCCAAACCACCCACCAAACTGCTGAGCCCGCAGAGGATAACAACAACAATGTGGCCCCAGTCCCCTCCACAGAACAGATCCCAAGCCCTGTGGCTGAAGCCCCATCTCCGGGAGAAGAACAAGTCCCTCCAGCACCTCTTCCCCCTGCCATCCACCCACTGGCAGCCTCAATGGTGGGTGTCCTTGTGAGACGAAAGCTGGACTCCCCTCAGCACTCACCTTGTTAGGGGCCAGGCGTGTCCCTGCCACCCACAGTTAGGTCTAAGAGGGCTGTCGGGGTAAGGAGAGACCAAGGGGTCCAAAGGAGGGGTGCACAGTGCCCCTTGGAGGCTGCCTTTGGGACCTGGGAAATGGGCAGAAGGAGGGAAGAACCTTCTGGACAGAGGCCCCTGAGTGAGTCAATTTTGGTGGACCAGAGAGCAGTTGGGTGTCCTCTCAGGATCCAGTAGTCCTTTCACCTGCAATCTCAGTGCTACTGCTGACAGCTATGTTAGGTGTCCCTAAGGATGAACTGCCAGCTCCCTGGGAGCTGCATCTGCCTAGCAGTTGGCTGTGATAGACCCCATTCCTTCCCACAGGGTCTTCCAAAAAAGTAGGCTAGCAACTCACACCAGCCATTGCCCTCTGTGAGAATAGTCAGGAGCTCAGGCCCATGCCACTGCCCTCCTCAGGTAGCCCCTGGGCTGCTCTTGGAGAGCCACTGCCTTAGGGTTTAGTTCCTGCTGTTCCTTCCTATGGGTTTAGGTCTTGGACTAGCCCACACTTCGTAGGTCAGCTGGACATTGAAGCATGCTTCCTTTCCACAGAGCAAGCGGACCAACCTGAAGAAGCCCAACTCCGAGCGGACAGGGCATGGGCTGAGAGTACGCTTCAACCCCCTGGCACTGCTGCTAGATGCTTCTCTGGAAGGAGAGTTTGATCTGGTGCAGAGGATAATCTATGAGGTGAGCCACACCCACCCCATGGGTGCTGCAGGGGATGGAGGACTGGCTCTAATGTGTCCCATGTCCTTGTCCTAGGTGGAGGACCCCAGCAAGCCCAATGATGAAGGGATCACCCCACTACACAATGCGGTCTGTGCCGGCCATCATCATATTGTGAAGTTCCTGCTGGACTTCGGGGTCAATGTGAATGCTGCTGATAGTGATGGATGGTGAGGGCCCCCAGCGGGTTAGGTTGAGGCTCACTTTCTCCTACCTTACAAAAGGAAAAAGCACATGGTCAAGAAAATTGGGGGGGCTAGGGATGTGGCTCAAGCGGTAGCGTGCTCGCCTGGCATGCGTGGGGTGCTGGGGGCGCTGGGTTCGATCCTCAGCACCCATAAAAAAATAAAGATGTTGTGTCCACCGAAAAAACTAAAAATAAATATTAAAAAAAAATTTTTAAATAATAAAAAAAGAAAATTGGGAAGTATGTATGGCAAGAATACCCATCAGTTAATTCCCCAAAAGACAGCTGTTGCCAGCATTTTGTTGCATATCTTTCTTCTAATTATTCACTCTTCCTTTATTCAGACATTTTGTATGAAATACGAATTCACATGTATGAATATGTGAACAGTAAATCCAGAAAGCCCCCTTTGTTATTGGTTTAGGTGTATGTGTTCTTGTTTCCATTTGCCTTCAGGATCAGGACTTGGCTGCTGTGCAGGGCCTGTGGTCTCATTGGGGGTATTTTGAACTTATAGCTCTCACTGTGCTGTTTGTCTTTTTAAAAAAAAATTATTATAAAATACACATAAGATTTGTCATCTTAGCTGTTTGTAAAGGTCCACTCAGCATGTTAAGTGCATTGACATTTCTGTGAAGTGAGCATATTTATAAGCCAGTCCTTAAACTGTTCTCTGCCTGTCCCCTTCTCAAAAACTGATATGTGGCCAGGCACAGTGGCACATGCCTATAATCCCAACAGCTTGGGAGGCTGAAGCAGGAGGATCATGAATTCAAAGCCAACCTCAACAGCAGCGGGGCGCTAAGCAATTCAATGTGACTCTGTCTCTAAATAAAATACAAAAAAGGGCTGGGGATGGAGGTCAGTGGTTAAGTGTCCCTGAGTTCAATCCCTGGTACCAAAAACAAAAAAAAAAAAGAAAATTGATATATGGTCCACAATCCATCAGTGGAGGTCAGACCTTTAAAAACACATGGAGAAACTTGCCCAGTACGAAGGCATGGCACCTTTGTAAGGATTCCTTTGAGGGTAGCATCACACAGGAGCCAGGTAGCCCTGGACAGCACCAGACCCACACCCTTGCCCCTCTGGTTCTAGGACACCACTACACTGCGCAGCCTCTTGCAACAGCGTGCACCTCTGCAAGCAGCTGGTGGAGAGTGGAGCTGCCATCTTTGCCTCAACCATCAGTGACATCGAGACTGCCGCGGACAAGTGTGAGGAGATGGAGGAAGGCTACATCCAGTGTTCCCAGTTTCTGTATGGTATGTAGGGTGTCTGGTGCATCTTGGCTTCTTCACCCAGGCAGGGCAGCATTGTGTGCAGAGGTGCTGCCACAGTAATCCCAATGGCCAGAGAGTGTGCTTGAGTGCTCCTGGTGCTGCCACAGTAATCCCAATGGCCAGAGAGTGTGCTTGAGTGCTCCTGGGTTCGCTGCCCACTCACTCCTGCAAACACATTTGAATATCCACATTGTCAGAAGGATTCTGTGCTGTTGCTGAAAAGTAAAAGTGACCTCACTGTGCTTTGCACAGAGGTTCCCCTTGGGGCACAGGGGCTGGGTGTGTGGATGGCTGGGCAGCACTCATCTGTTCACTGGCTGCTGTGGCGCACCAGCACTTGCAGTGGGGCCACTCCATCCCTGTGCTGGCCTGGGGTTGGCCACGTATCCCCTGAACCATTTGATGGGTGAAGCTCTTCCCCTGATCAAGCTGTTGTAGCCAGGGTCAGGTTTCCCCAGAGCTTGGATGTTTTCTCTGTTCCAAGGGTTAGGCAGTCACAGGCATTCATTCTATATATGCCAAGCCCTGTGGTATGCCCTGGGAGAGTGACATAGAGCCAGCTGACAGGTTCCTGCATTGTAGTGGGACTCAGCAAGCACAGAGGCTGCCATCACAGCAGCACCTACTGAGGGAAGATGCTCCCCAGTGTGACTCTGCTGCCTCTAGAAATGAAATGTCCCACAGAAGATCCTTTCTCCTTTCTCGGGGCACTCCATGTAGTGCTTGGCCATGCGTTCACTCTGCAGCCACAGCACAGGGTCGTGAGCAGTTGCTGCTGCTTAGCCACCAACTTCTGAAAGTTTGTTCTAAGTTTTATCTTAAAAAATGCCCTTTAGAACAACATACCTCTACCTCTGGAACCAGCATTTCAGTAGAACTTCATAACCAGGAGTTCCACATCTGGATTCAACCTATACCATGGATCAAAATCTGAAAAGCCAGGCATGGTGGCACATGCTTGTAATCCCAGCAGCTCAGGAGACTGAGACAGGAGGATAGCAACTTAGCAAGGTCCTATCTCAAAATTTTAAAATAAAAAGGACTGGGGAAGTAGTTCAGTGACAAAGTGCTCCTGGGTTCATCCCCAGTACAAAAAAGAGAAAGAAAATATCTGAAAAACAGTGACATCTGCACTGAATGTATAGATTCCCTTTTCTTGTCATTATTCTCTAAACCCACTTACCTTGCCTCAGGTATAGTAAGTAATCTAGAGATGATGTACACAAGGACACATGTAGGTTATATGTGGACACCACTGCCAATTTGGCAAGGAGGACTCGGGCACCTGAGGATCTTGGTATCTGCAGGGTTTCTGGAACCACACCTCATGGACACAGAGGGAAAGTGTATTATCTTGTAGGGATGGAGAGAGGGTTGTGTGCAGTAAGCTGAAGGGCTCAGCTAGGCCTGGTAAGTGTCAGGTGGAATGACCCTGGTTTCTAACCTCACTGGCCTGCGGCCCGTGTGAGCCACCTTGAGCAGCAGAGTGTCACCTTGTTCCTTGGTGGGCTGCTTTCTCTGGACTGCCCTTGCTGAGGCCTTACTGTGGCTTTCTGGTCCCAGGGGTACAGGAGAAGCTGGGAGTGATGAACAAAGGTGCAGTCTACGCCCTGTGGGACTACGAGGCCCAGAACAGCGATGAGCTGTCCTTCCACGAAGGCGATGCCATCACCATCCTGAGGCGCAAGGACGAAAGCGAGACTGACTGGTGGTGGGCTCGGCTCGGGGACCGGGAGGGCTATGTGCCCAAAAACCTGCTGGGGGTAAGCACGTGGTATGCTAGAAGGTTATGTTGGAAAGTCGGCTGGTTTTGTGTACTTGGCCAAAGTCATAGGATCCCCCTCTTGGCATGGGTTCTGGTTCTATTGGGGACCAGGGCAGGGGGCACCTTTCTTAAAGCCTCAGCAGCCTGCTCTGCACATGGACAAGCCCCTGCTCTGCAGAGTTGAGGTGCTGGGATTCAGGCAGAGCTCTTGGAGATGACTGGCCTGCACCCACCCCTGGAGCAGCTGGGCCATGTGGAGGCCAGGAGCACTGGCCAGCTGCTGCCCAGTGTGCTCTGCTCATGGCACACTTTGGCAAGCAGCTAGGCCACCCACCTAGACCTTCCGCATCTTGACAGGTGGCAGGCTGGGGCAAATTCTGTAGGTTGCCAGCTGTCTCCTTCATGGCAGAGGGCCACCCTGCTTGCTTCTCCCATGTGCTGCAACAGGACTGTCAGGTGTTCCTCATCCACTGGCAGGCGCCTGCCCTGAGGGAGCTTATGCTGTCAAGGGCCTAGTGGACAGTGATACATTTTAGGGTGACATGAAGTGCTGCCAGAAAGATAGGAACAGATCACTCTGGGGTGGGATCCTTTGAAATAGTAGTTTGGGAGAGTCTCAGAGGAGAGGGGCAGCTGTGTTTGGGCCAAGGAGGCCAAGCTTTCCTGGGGCATGCAGAGGCAGATGTGAAAGGCCCCTGGAGGCCAGTTCCTGGTCACCCCAGCTGTGTCCATTTCTTCCCAGTTGTATCCACGGATCAAGCCCAGGCAGCGAACACTTGCCTAAGCTTCCCCCTGGAGCACCACGGTCTTGCTGGCTCCCAGGAGCTGCTGGAGAGGATCAGCTGTCCGGGGAAAGCTGACGCTAGGATGGCTTCATGGTGCTCACTTTAGCAGACACCACCCACAATGTGAATTCCTGCACTTCCCAGGTGAGGCCTTCTCCAGTCCACCGCAGCTGGGAGAGGTACTTTTGCTTCCAAGAGGACCGAGTTTTGCCAATTACTGTAAATCCAAATAAACACCCAGCTTTCAGAACTCCCACCCCTGTTGCCAATAAGAAGCCCTGTAATTATTAGGTCCCCTGTTGGTTGCCAGTGAAGACTGAGCTCTGACCTGGCCCTGAGGCCACCTCTTGTACCCCCACCGTGAAGCCAAGCTGCTGCCAGATGCCCCCACTGCAGCCCACCTCTGAGAGCCCCAGAACCCACCCTTCCTTACCTCCCCACAGTTGTTCCTTTTACTACCAGAGGAGCCGCTGTGGATATCCCCAGGGATCTTTCTGCACAGATGAGTGGAGTGTCCAGCTTCTTGCTGGCCCTGTGCTGGGGCTGGACTTCCATTTCTGGGCACACATGGTTCGGATTCCTATAGCCTCTGGCTGCACACCTTGAATCCGTTTTTGTTCTGAGTATAGTCAGACACAAGTCTGGGCAAGGACAGGTCAAGGCCTCTGAGGCAGCAGCAGCAGGGCAGGGACCAGTCCAGACAAAGCCAGCTGGAAGGCAGCAGTGCTGGCCCTGATCCCTGGTTCCACACAAGGCAGACCCTGAATTGTGTGGACAGGCTTTTTATACACCAAGATTATTTTTCAACTAGATCATTCAAAACTACCAGAACTATGTTGGAAATGTTCTTTCTCATTAACACACAGGCCCTTAGGCTTTATTTTCCATGTGTATCTTGTGTATGATCTGTGTGTAAATATGTGTATGGACTCAGAGGCAGAGCTGCAGTTGATGGCTGACTGCACGGGGTGTGGCACTGAGTGACACCACTGGGAACAGCTCTGCTGTCCCCGACACTGCTGACGCTGTGTAAATGTGCACAATAAACTGCTGTCTCACACCCAGCTGTGTCTTGTGTTCTGGAGGCAGGATTGAGCTAGGCCACACACTCAGGTTAGAGGGACACAGTAAGACCAGAGACTTCTCTGTACTTCCAAAATAGGTTTTAATCATATGCTTTATATACAGATTGCTGTACAATCATTTTAATAAGATGAAAGAATAAGTGAAAAGTAGAAAACAAGGCTGATGCTGTGTGCTTTATGAAGTATCAAAGGATTGTTCATTGCCCCAAATTAGTGACAAGGTCAATGGAGAGTCTATAAACAGGCTAAGGCAACATTGTAAATTGGCTACTGGAAATGGGCAGGCTCCAGTGCAAACCAGAGGCCCTAGTTACCACCACTCACTTTGTTTCTGTGGGAGAACTAGTGAAGTGAGCACTGATGGGCCTGGACACGTCATACAGGTTATGGTAAAATTAGCTCAGCAGTAGTAGCTCAGCCTCCAAGACTCTGAAGCTGCGTGCATACGGCACTAGGTAAGTGAACACTTTGCTGCTCTAAATAGGTGGATTGTATTTCTCAACATAGCAGGGTGAGGCCCTGTGGTGCCTGGCCAGGGGCAAGTGGCTTAGCCCTGGAGACAGTTGCACTCCTTCAGCTCACGGTCACTGGTCCCGAGATTCATAGAGGAGCTTGGCGGCCTGCAGGGTGACCAAAAATAAACACCAGGAAGCACACCCAGCCCCGCACCCAGCTGCACCAAGCCAAGCCCTGTGCCTTCCAAAGGCACTGCTTTGGCAGGTCCTTCTCTGGGAAAAGCGGGCTCTCCCCTGAGCCCACAAGCTGTCCGCCCACACCCATGGTACCTTATGCATGGCTACCAGCCATGCTGTTGCCTGCCTCCTGCTGGTATTTGCATCCTCCCCTGCGGTCAGCTTCAGCTGGGCCTCGCCCTCTGTCCCTGGCACCGTGTACTGCAGGAACATGCCTGTGGCCCGAGCATTACCTCCTGGAAGAAGGGGACGATGTGAGGTGGCCAAAAGGGGCCCTGATGAAGTGGTGGCCAGTGCTGACCCACTCTGTGCTACTCAGGAAGCAGCCCTGTTGGGACCATGAGGTGATGAGAGCCCCTGTCTCTGTGGAGAACACAAGTTCAACCTGGTCTGGTGCCTCCAGGGACAAACTCGTGGAGCTGCATCACCAAGAAAACTGTTCTTGGGAAAATCCAGAAACTGCTGCACCTCCTGAGTCCCATGGAGCCCGTTCCTGCCTCCAGAGAACTCCCAGATAATACCTGTCCACAGCCAGGGCTGCAGGAGTGCTGAAGCCACCTCAAGAGCACTGGTCATCAGACAGGCCAACTGGACAGTCACTTCATAGCTGGTTTCATACCTAGAGGTCAGAGGCTATAGCCATCCTCTACTGAGACCAGGACCTCAGCTGAGCAGACCGTTGATGTCAGAGAGACGCCACACCATCCTATCACGTGCTGTTCCCTCAGACCTGATGGGATGCCATTAAGGTCTGGTTTCGGAGCTGGGTGGCAAAGACCCAGTCTCCCGTTCCTGGGCTGTGATCAGCTGCCCCAAACACTGTGACTTGACTCTAGCACCTGCTCAACAAAGCAAGCACTGGAGAAAAGACCACAGGTCTCAAAGGGCCCTTGTGCAGCTGCACCTGTAGCCGCCTACCTGGTAACAGGAGGAAGCCCCACATTCACGATGAGTCACCATGGAGATCAGTCATAGCTGATTCCCACTGGTTAGCAGGTGAGTGCACTGACTATAAGGCCAGTGGTCTTTAGGAAGGGGCCTGACCAACACAAGAGCACCGTGTCAGCTGCAGAACTGTGTCCAGAGCTTCCTGAGCTGCTCCTGCACAAGCCCAGGGCTCCTGCCGAAAATTTCAGGCTGAGCTGCTCCCCGAGACTCTGCAGCAGGCAGACCTTAGCTCTGCCCACCACCTGTAAATACTGGAACATGGCCATGGGCCCCTGTTGTCTATGAGGGTTTTTGCCCTTTGACCAGAAAACCCTTCCTTTCTGGCAACAAGTGTCAWCCTGCTCTAATAGCCTGGGCTGCTACAGCTCAGGAAGTGGTTCACACTATCCCTACTCCCACCCTCCACAGGAAGAAGGGTTATGGGACTTTAAGGGTTCTAAGAAAATGCTGGGCAGTACAGGGGTCATTACTCCCAAAACCTTATGAGGACATGTGGTGCCAGTAGTCCTATGACCTGCCCAGCAGAAAGTCTACCTATACTCACAGGATCTGAGGAAGGTCTACCTACACTCACAGGACCTGCCAGAGGCCATCCCTGTCCTGGCCACCTTCCCCTTGGCCTTGGGAGGGGTTGTGGTGAATTGTATTCCTGGCCTTGGGCTCTCTAGGTGAAGGCAAATACTACCCTTGGCACCAGGGTTTCTTCAGCCAGCTCGTTGCCCCATGTGTGTCCCTACATTCAGGGAACACAGGTAGCACAGCATAGGCCTGATATACTCTGTCTCAGCCCCTGAAGCAGCACTAAGGTGCTAGGAGCCAGGAAGTCACAGTGGGCACAGCTGCCAGGCCACAGGGCAGCAAGCTGCTGCCCTCTCCACAGGCCCAGTGCCTCTGGGCTTCCATGGCTACCCACAGCCCTGGCCTCAGCTGCTCAGGGCTGGCAGACACTGACAAAAAGCCAGCAACTATGTGGTAATGCTTCTTCCCTGAGATAGAAGAACTAAACAAATATATTTTTTTCTGGGACATTTTCATTTATACTCTGTAGACCCATGTACTGGGCCCACTGTTTACACAAATCAGCCAAAAGAAGTGAGTTTTACAAGGAACCTTGGCATGAACCATCCATCCCAGACAGAAGCAAAGTGGCCAGAGGAGAAACAGGGCCCACTGCATGCTGGAGGGAGTGGCCAACAGAAAACGAGGCTGACCTTTGGAGGCGGGCTGGCTCTCCAGGACGCTGTAAGTGTGTGTGTCTTTTTCTACGTCAAGAAGGTAGGCAGGCAGTGGAGAGAAGAACAATCAAGAGCCACTCAGAAAACGGAGAGCAAGAGGTTAGGTCAGGTGGTTTCTTCAGCACMATCTTCAGGTTTGGAACAGGGACACGTGCAGGTCAGCCACCTCAGGAGGAGGCAGTGGGAGCATGCGAGTGCCGCTTTTCTGCCAGCACTTTTCTGCTATAACTCCACCAGTTATAGCACTAGGAGCACTGTCCAATAGTGACAGTGGGACACCATCGCGACAGGCATGCAGAGCTTCCTCCTTTATCTTAAGGTTTTAAGTCCCCGCTCACCTGGCACATTCTAAATCCACTGACTGAAGACAAGCCTCACAGAAGAGAAAGGCAGGCCTCTTGGGCCCGAATGCTCATGCCTGCTGTCCCCCTCATGTGACCATACCCTCCTGCTCAGGAAGGCCACCAAGCACATACCTCCAGGAGCAAAGCCTTCCGTGAGAACCTGCACAGTGGAGATGTGTGCGACCTCAATTTCACAATGGCTGTCCCCGTCCAGAATCAAGCATCTACCCAAACAAAAGGGTTCCAACTACATGACTGAGGCCCACAACACGTGACAGCACCATCCAGCACCAAGTGGGGTTCTGGCTCTTACCTCTGGTTGTTGGAAAGACGACAAACCATGGTTTCAGATTTTTCTGAGTTTCCAAAAGTCACAGTGAAGGTGGCTCCTTGGGAGACAAAAACCAAATGAGCAAATTCCATGTGYTGCTTCCACTTGCCCTCCCCAGGCTGCGCATGCTCACCCTCGCCTCCCACAGAGACAAGCTGAGGCAGGGTAAGCCCCATGGAGCAAAAGGCAGCAGTGAGTGGAGGCCAAGAGGAGGCCAAGAAATCAAACAGGGAATCGGTCTTGCTGCCTGTAGAGCACCTGGGATTTATTTATTTATTTTTTTCTTAACATCCTTTAAGGAAAGGACACAAGGCCCAGACCAGAGCAGCAGTAGGCCTGTGGCCAGGGGGGCTGCTCATGCCCCAGAGGCTCTAAGGCAGACACGGCCCCTGGGGTTCTCCCACCCTATCCCAGGACAGCCTCAGAGCCAGGGCTGCACCTGCTGAGGCTGCTGTCTCTGGACCACTTCTCTGAGGGCCACAGTCACAAATGACAGCCACCTGAAGGCTATGCCCAGGGAAGTCAGAACCACACTGTAGACATTTCCACCTCTAAAGAGCAGAGCAGGCTCTAGGACTGCTCCTAAACGAATCCAGAGGGCRAGACAGAGGTGGAGTGAGGGGCGCCTACCCGCTGTGCTTACCACTCAGAAGCACCTTGAGCTGCCTGTCATAGAACTCTGCCTCGCGGTGGGACACAAGGGCGCACTCTGCGCACTGCCGCACGGGGTCCACAAAGCACATGCGTCGCAGCGGCACCTTCTGGCTGCAGCACCTGTCACAGAAGCACTTCCCGCAGCGGCGGCAGTGGTGCTAGCAGCAGAGGCAGGCAGTGAGCACATGTCCTGAGCCTGCCCTGCACCTGAGGCTCTGTGCCACTTCTGTGGGAGCCCAACAAGGGTCTTCCTCACAGGCTGGGCTCTGCTTGGCTTGGGTCTTTTTAAAAACTAATCAAAAAGGCCACTTTCCAACTTTTTTCAACTTTCAAATCTTGCTGCCCAGGACACCCTTCTGTGTGCTGCCGAGGCAGGAAGGGTGCTCCCGAGGGCAGCCTGTGGGGCCTGTCCCTGCAGGAGCCCCACCAGTGCAGAAGCAGCATGTGACACATCAGGACCCACCAGAACAAGGCATCACTTGAATCCAAAGGATCCTACAGTATCATCCCCTCCCAGAAAGAGGCTTACTGTCCCACACTGGGTCCCTGCCTGGTGAATGCGCCTACCACCACCCACTGGATGGCCTCAGCTCACCTTTCTTGTGATAAAGTCAAACTTGGCATCACATTGCATACATCTCGGACACTAGGAGAGAATGCAACAGAGTATTAAAATCCAGCCGTTACTTAGCTAATCTGCTGAGGCAGGGACAAGAGGGACCGAGACTGTCCAGAAAGCTAGTCTCCCGTCCTGCACCTGGAGACAGCCAGCAGCAGGGCAGCTTGCCTTAACTCAGGACCCAGCTCAGAAGCCAGGTTCAGTGGGCCCAGCCCCAAGGCCTCAGATGAGACAGATGATTCCAAGACCTGCAGGAGCACCAGCTGGGACTTGGCCTGAATGCCTAGTGGCCAGAGTCTTGCAGGGTCCCCAGGGCATGGGACTAGCTGTCTGCATCACAGTGCCTTGGGTCATTTTGACCCCAGATCCAGTGGCAGCGCATGCTAGTGGCTTCTGTCCAGCCCTCGTGCTGTTACAACCAAAGGCTGGCATGATGAAAAGACCATGACACTTCACAGCAAGGATTAACCTGGACCAGGAAAGGACATGTTACCACTCTAATTTACAAAGGAAGAAAGTCCAGGGAACCTGCTCGAGCAGCGGAACTCCAAGTGATGAAAGTCTACACACTCGAGAGTGGATTCTGGGTTTGGGACCTAACCAGGGCCTGTAAGGGAATATCTGGGACAAGGGGTTTCAATGTGGATAGGTACCTGGCCTGGAGATGCCCTGACACTGCTTCCTCGAACAGGCACAAGGAGGGGACTGTTGCCCACAGCCCAGGACTCTAGAAGCTACACCTTCTGGCAATTAGACTTCTTCTATGCATTCAGCATTTGCACATGCAGACAGAATGGCTGGTCATGGGATTGGATGCACACCTGCCACGTGGTTAGCATACAGGGCCAGGCCACATGGTGAACAGGGCTGAACAGAGCCCCTCGCAGTGCTTGCCTCCTCTGCTGCACTCCCTCCCGCCTGTGCTGCAGTCCCTCCCACAGCAGCAGCCAGAGCGCTGTGTGTGCTGCGTTTGGCTCACACTTGAATTTTCTTCAAGGCAGAACCTCAGAATCAAATTAAATAGCCCCAGTTCAGAGAAGCCGTTTCATAGCAACGCCCAGAGCAGAAAACAAATGTTCTCTCTAGGTGGCCTGGTGCCAGTGAAATCCAGAGAACAAGAATGTCTCCCAGTACTCTAGGACCTCAGGTTCTCTGGCTGGGCACCACCAGGGTCACTATGACCCTGAGGAAGTACATTCTCTTCACTATTCCAGAACAGAGCACAGCACGGGAGGCTCTGTGGCTCCTGACCATGGGGAGTCTGCTCACTCCCAACAGGGCTTGATCATCACCTTCTTTCTGAATTGTCTAAAAGAACCCCATGCCCTGGATAGCCTTGCACACACAGTGCATGACCCCAGCTGGGGCAGATGGGATGCGGGCACCCAGGGGAGGCCTGAGCCTTCACAGACATGGGACAGGGATGTCCTGACACTGAGGAAGCACTGCAGGAAGGGAGGCTGAGAGGCTACAAACCACAGAAACCTGCTTCCAAGCTTGTTTCAGACCATCTGGTCTTCAGCAGTCAGAACTGAAATGGATCAATCCACTTAGAAAGCAAATTAAAAGGCTCACTACAATGCCCAGCATGTTGACCCAACACCCCACAGTCATTCATGGGTGGTGGTGGTAGCCCTCTACCCAAGACCCTGTGGACTGAGGCCTGTCCAATTCCTGCTGCTGGACCCCTGCCAGCGCTGAGCTCRCAGCCCTCGCTGGACAGCCCGCAAGCCCAAGGTCATGTTGCACTGTGTGTAGCCTCAGCTAGAAGACTAGCCAAGTCTGCAAGGTCTCCTTTCAGGCAACAGAGACCTTGGAACAAGTCACAACCCAGTCCTCATGTCACTACCTAGGTGACAGCGCTGCCTTGAGCTTCCACTTGTGCACATGCAGCCCTCGGTTGCTTCTGGAACCAGAGGTCCTAGCTTTGTGTACAGTTCCCACTCAGAACACAACCAGGACACACTCAAATTCAGGTAGGTGTCCTGGCACAAACCCCTGTGGCCACAGGGTGGTTTCTGGGAACTTGTTCATCCCCAGCTGGGAAGGTTCTGTCCTGAAATGGCCTCCTGCTGGTAGGAGACATGTTGGCTAAGCCAATACAGAGCTGTTCCCATTAATTCCCTGCCTGACACCCAGGTGGTAGACACTAGGACCCTGGCTAGTAAGAAGTTCCATCACACATCCCTCTAACAAAGCAAAGGAAACTATCACCATGAAAATGGAGACTCTCATGCCACGAGCTGTACTTACTTTTCCCCATGTCCCGCTCGCTGGGCTCCCCAGGCCAAGACCTATAGCCCTGGAAGCCTCACAGCCTCTGTGTGGACCTAACTAAAAATGTGCCAGGAAGGCTGGAAGGTGGGCTGGGGTGGCCTCTTGGTGTGATAGATGCATCCCTGTGATTAGACTTGCCAGAGACCCCAGGTCAGGACATGGGCCTGGGCAGCCAGTGGCAACCTGGACACAAGTGCACAATGAACAGGTTCTTCAGCAGTAGATCCCAAGAGGAACCCGAGAGAGAGATGAAGGCCACTTTGCCCTCAGTGACTAAGGACTCGGTTGAATATTCATCCGGAATTGTCCGCATTCAAGACATGAGCAGAGACTCCTCCACGGAGAGCCTCCTTTCCCATTCCAGTGGTCAGGAAGACCAGAGATGGCTTGAAGAACTCAAAGAGGAGGCAGGATTGGAAATGACCACATTATAAAAAAAAAAAAAAAAAAAAAAAAAAGCTGACTCTCACACTGACTATCTAACATGAGTGGCTCCATATCTTACAACTAAGGACAAAGGGCAATGTTACACTGTCATCCTGGCGCTCAGCATCCAGTTGAGACGTCAGCTCCTCAACACAGATCTGCAGCTCTGACAGCCTGCTCCTGGGGCTGAAAAACTGACAAATGTGGCGTGGCCCACCTGCCCTTGCCTCAATCCAGAGGAGGAACATGGGCTCACTATGGCCACTGGGCATCTTCTATAACCGGCGACATCAAGTCTGCACAGTGCAGGGACCACTTGTCCCAGATATCTGCCTCAATTGTCACCAGCCATATTCACTCTGGTCAGTCAGAAACAATAAATCATACACTGGCTGCCGCTACAAGTCCCAGAGGCTCTTCACTGTCCTCTCTGCTGCCCTAACTAGCAGGATCATGAACATTCCCCCTGCTCTACACGCCCCTCCAGGCCTCAGCCTCTTCACATGCAGACCTGGAAGACAATGGCAAGGAGCACTGTCAAGGACATAGAACTACCATCACCTACTGCCCTGCCTCAACTCTATGAGCTCTGCATGTTTCCCAAAGGCAGGGGCTTCCCTCCAGTCCATGGACCCCTGTAAATGGTGTTTCCAGCAACAGGCTGGTGCACAGGTACTCTGCAAAAGCTATGCATGTGAACAGGCAGCCTTGAGGAAGTTCCATCAGGTCCTGAGGGCCTGCTGTAGTACTGGTCCAGTGCAGAAGCCAGTGGTGCTGGGACTCTGCACGCCTCAGGAGGAAGTCCTCGGAGACCCATAGCTGCAAATGTGTCCTCATTTGGAATGCCAGGAGCCTTTTAGGACATCGCTGCACTGCAAAGACAAGCGCATCACAACACCACTCTGCCACATTCCACATGGCACTGTACACGGCTTCCAACTCTGAGCCTCCATGACTAATGCTCTTTCCCTCTACTGCCAAGCTGGCATCTGGACTTGGAGACCAGGCCTGACCCACCACAGCTTCTGAGCACCGCAGAGGCCAGTCAGCCTTCACCCTCAAATGCCTGTAGGTTCTAGAAGGCTCTGTGTGCTGGGCACAGTCCTCTTGGCTTCCTCCTCAACCCCAATTGTCTGTCAATCACAGAAACTACTAGCATACCCTGGAGGAGGTCTTACAGTGTGTGCCTAGAGTTAAATGAGGCAGCCGTGACCCCACCAGCTGTGGCGAGAGCAGCTCTGTTCCCACCTCTCCACAGCCGACCTGAGGGCCTCCAGTACCACAGCACTTTGCTGAGCTGTGCTACTGGAGACCCCATCTAGGTCTTAAATCTGCTCCCTTAAAAATATAAAATGATTCACAGGTTCTTATTACTCTAAATAACGATGAACTTATTCAGAAAATGAACAGTGGTTTCTTTTGAGGGCTGGGGTTCTTTTTGGTACTAGGGATCCAACTCAGGGCCTTGCACAAGCTAGATAACCACTGAGCTACATTTCCAGCCCTTTGGTTTTTTAATTTTTCGAAACAGTCTCACTAAGTTGCTGAGGCTGACCTTGAACTTGAAATCTTCCTACTTCAGCCTCCTAAGACACTGCGATCACAGCCAAAAAAAACAAGTTGATTTCATTAGTTAAAATAAAATTTTTAAATTTCAAACAGAGCAATTTATATGAAAAGAGAACAAGGAAATAAAGCAGGTGAAGCTATGAGAACAAAATTCCTGCCAAAAGCCAGATGCAGCAACACATGCCCACCAGACTCCAGAGGCTGAGGCAGGAGGATATCAAGGTCAAGGTCAGCCTGGGAAACTTGGGAAACCCTGCCTCAAAATAAAATAGAAAGGACTAGGGATGTGGCTCAGTGGTAGAGTGCTTGCCTAGCACATGTGAGGCCCTGGGTTTGATCCCCAGTACTCAGTACCCAGACAAAAAAATTAACAATGATAATAGTAATAATGAAATCCTGCCAGATACCAACCCCAGGTCAGTAACAAACTTCTCCAGAAGGGAAAAAGGGCAACATGCCAGAGGCTGCCAGCTCTTGCCTGCTGCTTCCAGAGCTAGGCTTGTGGGCTCTGCAAGGGGCAACACAGCTACTTCAGGAGGCTGAGAGGACACACCAAAGCCCAGAAACCTGCCTGACTCATCTGCCTCCACCAAGTGCAGCAAAGGGTACTGGCAACACCAGCCTGTCAGCCCACACAGTCACATGTCCCAGCAGGAGGACACCAGCAAGAAGAGCCACCGGGTACGAGGTACAGATTGTAACAAGTGCTAAGGGACGGGGAAGCCCAGGAGGAAAAGAGGGGCAGAGAGTCAACTTGGGCAGTGGCCTGATGAGACCCATCTGCGATTTGATCCTCTGGACAGGGATAAACAGATAACCCACCCAGGACAGACTGCCCACCAACAGCAGAGGGAGAACAGGGAGCCCACTGTCACCTTCTTTAGAAGCCCAGCAAAGACTGGGCAGGATGAGCTATGAGGAGCTGCCCAGAGGACCACCAGATGAAAAAGGGAGGAAGAGGTGGGGCTCCCAGTAAAATCCCCACCTCAGAACCCACTTCCCTGCAGCCAGGCCCCTGAAGGCACCTGCCAGCTCCTTGCTGATCAGTCACTGACACTGACTCCTGCCACCTGGTCAGTACCTACACTAAGTGTCCTGCTGAAAAGTGAGATGGCCATGGGCACAAAAGAAGTAACCGCAGAGGCTGAGGGCAAACTCAGGCCAGATAGAGAGCTGATGAGTCAGTACTCTGCCTTTCTAACAACCAGAGGCTCCTGGGGCCACACCCTCACGCAGTAAGGGGCAGTCCCCAAAGGCAAGGCTCACGAGTGGCTCTTCAAGACTAGCCAGAGTCCACCTGACAGCAGGTGGGAGACCAAAAGGTGGACATAATCTGAAAATGTCGTGTGGAGGGCTTAAATGGATGTTCAGAGAAAGTTCCTATAAAAAGGACAAGCTTTAGGACACATAACCTCCCTCCCTTGGAGGCTGGAGAGACACAGGGCAGGTCTGCCCTCTTCCCCACTGTTCTCTTGCGGGCCACTGTGAAAACACCGTCAGCTGGGCTCTCGAACAGCACTCAGGGGTTCTTCAAAATTCAGTTATTAATGAGTGTTTTATATGAGTTTCAACGTGCCATCAGTTAAAGACCACTCTTCAGGGCGAGAGCACAGCTGCTACCAGTTTAAAATGAGCCCATATCAAAGACCTAACTCCTTGCTTAGCACGGGAACCAACCAGATGTGAAATTCTGAAGAGCAGGCCCACACCTGACCACCCGTGAAGAAGTGCATGTGATGAAGCTGTGAAGCGGGCTTCCTTCACAGGGCAAAGCTGAGAGGACACTGCAGAAGGGGCAGGCATCATCCGCACCTCGTGCACTAGAACCTTCTGCCTTGCTCTCCGGTTTTCAGTTTACAGGGTTGTCAGGCAACTCAGCCAGTGAAAGGTGGGGACTGTCCCAGGAGGAGGACACATCCAGGATCCCCTGCCTCGAAGTGTCAGCCAGCTTCTCCTAACATTATCAAAAGCTCAGCCAGCCACAGGGTTTCAGGAAGCTCTGTGCCCCAGGCAGCGTCCTGCCACAGCTGGGGAGGCTGTGGCAGCCCTTGGTACCTCACAGGGTGAACCTTACCTGTGGTCCTGGAAAATAATTATGAAATCCCTGCCTTCAGCACTGGCCAAGCACTCCCCTTCCCTGCACGACCTACAGAAGGTTACCAGTGTCCTTGACCCCCCTCCACTGGGCCATGCTTGGCAGGCCATCCAAATCCCTACTCTCTGCCCACAAAGCACTGGCTCAACTTGGGTCGCTACTGACCAAGTGGGGCAAAGGCCCAGATACATGATTGACTGGAGAGAAACTTCTCTACCAGCAGCCCCGGCCCGCCTGGCTTCTGGGTTCAGGCCTTCGACCTATTGATTTACTGTGGAGCTGCCATACTTCCATCCTGAGCCACTGCTCTCACAAGAGAAAAGCCTTTCTGGCCTGACCTGTGAGACACTTGCAGAACTCCCGGTCCAGCTGCCCCATCACACTACTCAGTTCCTCTCAGGCTGCTGTCCTATTGAATACAGCCCCTCCCAAGCCCAGTACCTGGATCCCCACTGGTTCTTCATCTATAGGACCCATGTGTGGAAATGACAGCATGGGCAGCCACAGCTGTAGGCAGTGCCACAGATGGGAAGGAAGGGCAGGATGGGTTTCAAGGATCAAACTCAAGTCTTTATGGCAGCATGCCCAGCAGCCCGGCCCCAGCCTAGCCTCCAGCTCCCAAAGCACCTTCCAAACTTGCGTTGCATGAGGCCCCACAGGCTCCTGGGAGCACAGCCTTCTTTACCCAGAGAAAACTCTCAGCTCTGGGTCATGATCTCACTGAGAGCCAGAGAGATTCAGGCCCCCCACTGGAAGGACACATGCATACTCCCCTCAATTTGCAGCATCTCTAAGCCATAACCTTTGTGGGCCACAGTGATCACCTGGCAAAAACCCAGCAGATGCGGGGTGGGCTGGACTTAGATTGACCCAGCTGAAGAAAGGCCAGAGAGAACAGTCAGCGATGTAGGTGCAGTCTCCAGGTGCGGGTGATAGGAGGTAGGGGAGGAGATAAGTGGCCAGGAGTGACCCTGCTACTCTGTCCTACTGCATTCTCCACTCATTCCAAACCACCAAAAAGCCAGTTCTCCACAGCTGGCTACCTCTGTGCTTGGGTCACCTCCCAGCACAGGTAAGCACAGCACGTGGCCTTCAGAGCAAGGTGGGTGCATCCTGTTCCGCCAAGGGCCAGCAACCAGTACAGGAAGTGCCCTGGGGACTATCCCAACCAGTCCAACCTGCTCTTCTTCAAGGCTCCTCCAGAAAACTCTGGCAGGTTCTAGACTCCAGGACCATGCTCCAATAAAATTGAAGAGATTTTTTCATTTCAGTGCTAGGGCTGGAGCCCAGGGCCTCATGCATGCTAGGTGAGCGCTCTATCACTGAGCTACATCCCAGCCCTTGAAATACACTTTCTGAAAGTCAGAGCTTTAGGTCCCTCAGATTCTTGGGGCTTCTTGGGCTACTCAGATTGGTGAGTCGTAATTCAGATGCACTGGGGTGAGGATGGTCCTGGGAAATCCCGCCTGCCCTCCAGGGTGGGAACCAAGCTTATTATGAGAGACACCATACCATCAGCATTTCAACCCAGCTTGTTAGCCATGCCAGCATTCCTAAGACAGCCTGGGCAGAGCCCAGTCCCACCTCACCACCCAGCACCTTTATAAGAGGCCAGCTGCAAAGAAAGGCACCTTGCTTAGAGAAAGAGGTGAAACAGTTATTACAGGTAATTCCAGAAGGGCTCACAGGCATAACTGTGGAAACTAAAATTAGGAAAATATGCTTCGGTAGAAAACACCTTGTCCAGACCACATGTTCTCACATCATCCACAAGGTCCACATGAATGTGAGCATTGTGCATTTGCTACTAAGACATTATAGGGGCACACCACAAATATATAGTTTCACTTGTCACCTTAAAAACTCTTATTATTCAAAGATATCATCAGGAGGGCAGGGGATATAGCTCAGTTGGTAGATTGCTTGCCTTATATACACGAGACCCTCTGTTCAATCCCCAGCACCACCAAAAAAAAAAAAAAAAAAAAAAAAAGATTTCATCAGGGATTGCTTCTTAGCCTTTGGCTTAAGGTCATGTGCAAATGTTTCATTGGGGGCTAGTTAGGGAAAGAACAGTCTAAAAAGTTAAATTCTTAAGGGGCAACAGGACAAAGGTGAAAAATTCCAGTCTAGACTTGCTGGTCTAGCCATGCTAAGGGCAGCACTTCACCACCCACTTCGGAGTTCTGGTCCCAGCTCTTCCCTATTTGATCTGTCAGTTTATGCTACCAGCCTGCCGTTGAACAGGTTGTAAGGCCTGCAGGGTTCCTGAGTGAACCAATGAGCCAAAGCACATGTTTACTTCTATCCACAGGAGAGTCACATTACCTTTAAAAATCATCTTTTTCCTCATTTTTTTTTTATTGTGATACAACACACATAACAAACTTGTCACCTGCCTCGTTTCTGCACACACTCTTCAGGGATGCACTCTGTTTTACTGCTTAATCAGCTTTAGGGCACTAGCCAAGCAGCCAGGTGGAGGCAAAGAGGCACTGTGAGCTCTGGGGGAGTGGGGGGTGGAGAAGCACCAAGGGTAAAGTGCTGAAGGGGAAGGGCAGGAACCCCAGGTACACAGAGACCTGTTCAGAGGGTCAAGGGTGTGACCCAACCCAAAACATCCAGGAGTGGCCTGGGCACCCTCTCTGGGCTTCTGGGAGCAGAGTGCTGATCTGCGCCATCTTTCTAAAAGGCTCTGATCTAACTTCAGAGGTGGAAGGTGGCTATCTTCCCCAGCTTCTGGGCGCACAGGTGGCTTCGCAAGGGGCCTGCCAGCTGGCTGCACTAAGAACACCTGATTTCACTCCTCTGCGGTCTGTAGCAGATTCCCCCCAATGGGAGGGAGGAAAATCAGTTATCAGAATTTGTTCAGGGCTTGTAACTTAGAGCATTTCCAAAAGTCACCAGTACTTTGACTTTTTTAGGCATTTTTTATTTTCTCTGGAATAAGAAATTATAATAAATGCCTGGAATGCCTCCGTTTTCTTAGAAGTGGCCTGGCTTTGCAGATTCCAGAACTTCTGAAGAGTGCAAACTCCGAGGTCTCCAGAGGGCCGCACCCACCCCAGGCAGGAGACCTCATGGCGCCCCCGTCCTCCCGCCGGCACAAGTGCGGGCCGGCCTCGCTTCCTGGAGACCGAGACTCGCCCCTGCCACTCGCTGAAGTGCACGCGGCAGGCGCGTCTCTAGTCCTCGCCGCCCGCTCCCGCAGCGGTGCGGGGGCAGCGGCTCGGCCCAGGACCGCCGCGGAATCGCAGGCGAGAGGAAACGGACTTCGAGAGTGGGAAGACAAGAGTGCGGGAACCCCGGAAAGGGAGCCGCGGCCGCGAGGCCAAGCGTGTCAGGGCAGTGGCCGGGAGGAAGGGGGGCGGGGGGGTTGTCGCGCGCGGGCAGGTCCGAGGGGCCAGGACCAGGCCGGGCGGGGACGCACCTCCTTGTCTGGGACCCACTGCGGTTCCTCCAGGCCGAACGGGCTTCCGAAGGCGCGGTGCTCGGGCACCATGCGCAGGCCGCTTGGGGAACGCACCAGCTTCTTGGCGTCGTGGCGCGCGGCCACCCCGGAGGACATGTCTCCAACTTGGATCCTAGCGCCGCGGCTTGCGCTCGGCCCCGCACCAGCTGGGCAGAGCTGGGCAGCACCGCCCCGCCCGCGCGGGCTGACAACGCTGGCGCCCAATCGCTAAGCCTGGCCCAGAGCGCAGGCCAATCGGAGTCAGGGATCCGCCCATAGCAATTCTCTCCAGTCCGCGCAAGGGCCCCACCTCTGCCACCCTGCGGGCGGCCACCAATCGACGACGAGGGCCGACCCTGGATCGCTCCGCCCTTCTCCGGGCGATTGAGACTTTTGACTGGTCGGTCACATAGGCGCGTCTTCGTGTCTGATTGGTGTGGCCGGCTCAAAGAGCTCTGCGCTCATTGGAAGAGAAGGCTGAGGGGGCGGCCCGGCGCGAAGAGGCGTGAGGAGCGCGCGATTGGTGAGAGCAGGGGCAGTGGGCTGCGATCGCGGCACCGGGCCAGCGGGTGGGCCGCTGCCCCGCGGCCGAGGTGACCTGAGAGGTGCCGGGCAGGCCTCCGCGATTTCCGGAGTTGGTTGTCGAGTGGGCGCGCGGAGTCCTGGGGCTGAGGAGAGAAGGGGCCCCGGGGCCCGCTCCGCGGTTCTCAGGACCTGCCGGGGGGAGGGTTTCCGCGGCCGGGTGTGTTACGGACGGGCGGAGATCGCAGGAGCCGGAGGCCAGGCCCGGGTTGCTGCAGCTCCCGCGCTCGGAACGGACCCGGGAGCCTGACTCCCAGGCCAGCCGCAGCGTGACTGTGGCTGTGTGAGCTAACCGTATGACTGGACCCCTCTGCGCTCTCGTTTCCTCTTCATCGAAACGGAGAGCCTCCATCCTTGTTGTGAGGCTTGTGTAAGTTGACCCGGGCCCGGGGCTTCCAGTTGCCCTGGGAACATCCCAAGTGTTGGATAAATGTGAGCGCTCAGCTTTGTTACCCTTGGTGGTTTTATGGAGATGTCAGTGGACTTGCCTTACCTGAATTTAGCTCTGAACTTAACAATAGAAAGAAAAATAACAGTTCCAGTCTTGAAGGTCGTGCTGCCCCGGCAAGTGTGACCGAGCATGGTGGCACCCCTCCATGCACACTCTCTGGTTTCTTTGGGTAACAGTACCTCCTGTGCAGTACTTACCCTGGAGATTAAAGCTCAGCTGGACACTCTGGAAGACAAAAGTGGGGCTGTCAGACACAGCAGATGTTCGGCATTAAAAATGTTTTTCAATGGCACTTGTTAAAGCCCAAGGACCATCACTGTCTATCCAGGAACCAGAGTAGTGGGTTTGTAGTGAGAGAGACAGACAAGGCTCATCTGGAACACATGGGCAGGTGGGGTCAGAGGGTGGAAAGTTACCAAGAGGAGGTGTCAGGGGACCCGGGAGCCCCCACCTGGGTGGTGGAGGATGAGGAACCTGGTGGGCCGTGGGGACTGGATGTGGAGAGTGGGGTTCCCACTGCACTGAGCAGGTACCTCACTGACACCTGGTTTCACCAGCATGAGTCCAGGTGGGGCTGGAGAGGACTCAGGAACCTGGGAAGATTAGCCAAGTGGGGCCAGGTGTGACTTGGTTGCCTCGCATGCTAGTGGCCCTGGGTTTGATATCCAGGCACAGCAAAGAAAAAAGACCAAGTGGAGGGTCTAACCAGCCTGCTTCCAGATGCCCTGCCCCCTTGAAGGCTCCAGGTGCAGGGTCCTCTGTGGGCCTTTCTGTGCTGCCTGGTGTCCAGCCCAGCCTGAGGCAGCAGCCTCCTGCCAGCCCCAGGCCAGTGTCCCAGGAGCTTTCCACACATAGACCCTCGGAGCTCTGSCAGTAAGACAGATTGGCTGTTGTTCTGGAGGCTGTCTTTACCTCTGGTGTATGCCCTGGGGTCCCTGCCAGCTCGCACCCCACTTTGGTTCACACCCTAACCCTCCTCCCAACTTCAGGGCTCTCAAATTCCCATATTCTCAAAGGGATGCTCCTGCCTTGCCACATGAGGCCCAGCTAGGTTTCTGATGACCAGGTGCCTTCTGGAGATGTCCCTCCTCCACTGTTCTCTGCTTGGGAGTCTAACTCCCCCGTGCCAGCTACCAGCTCTGTCAGCAGCCCTTGAACTGCTTTGAACCCCCATCACCCCCTTCTCGGCTGCTTCCTTTAGAACATGTATCCCAGTATTAATGCTGTGGTTCTCTGTAGCTGCTAAGCCAGCTTCTGCTCAGATCCACGTCCATTGTCTCTTGACCACCCTGAGTGGGCCTGGGAGCTCTGTGTGTCTGCTGTCCAGCTGGGCAGTACTATCAGCCCAGCGCCGAGAGCCTCCCCGTGTGTTGCCCCAGGCCACAGTAGGGAACGGTCAGGAGCTGACTTGGAAGGCCCACAGGTTCTGGGCCCCAGGAGCCTTGTGACCCCATCAGGAAGTGTGTCCTCCAGCCACTGCTTCCTGCTGCCCAGCAGCTGCCTCCCAGGTGCTGTGGTGGGCGAGGAGCAGCCGTGCCTGGGTCTTCGCCCAGGCTGGAGGTGAGTCTGAACTGTGGCTGTTCTTGGCCCTGCTCCAGCCTGGGAGGATGCAGAAGGCCACACCCTGAGTCCATGAGGGAAGCCTCGCCCACTGCTGCCCACTTCCCCTGGTAGACCTAACCCCCAAATGCTGGGCTCATCCAGGTCACTGGCCTCAAGTCTGTAAGACCAAACACTTCCCAGCACCCCATGTACATTCCTGACCTTGCTGTGGGGAGGCCACCGGGGAGGACAGCAGCTTGTTGGAAAGGGCTGAGTCCCTGCGCAGCCATCCCACGCCGGAGGGCAGGAAAGCCTTCTGTGGCCTCACAGGCCACAGAAGGGCCACTGGTGCTCCTTCTTTGGAGGGCACCCACGTGTTGATGGGTGAGGTGGGCAGCAGCCTTGCCCTGCGGCCCCTTACCTTTGCCTGGCCAGGCTTCCTTGACTCTACCGAGGTCCTCAGGCTCCTGCAATATCCTAAGCACACTTCCTCTACACTTTCTGAATGGGGAGGGACACACATTTGAGGGAAATTAAGCCAGAGATTGCCAAAGACTCTGAAGTCATGTGATCCCCATAAAAGGGAATCTGGGGGCTGGATATCATCCCGATGGTACAGGGCCGGAGCCTTGCAAGAAACTGAGGCAGCATGAAGACCCTCTCTTAACCCCGATTTTTGCAACCAGGCCAAAGATTTCAGTCACTCAGAGGAAGAGGAATGATTTATTGAAGGGATGGGGAAGGGGGAAAAGGACAGTCCCAAGGGAGAGAGGGGGTCCTCAGGAAGGAGAGGACAACGTGCCTTTCTTGCACTCCAGCTTTACTGGGGATCCCAGGGAAGTTTCCAGAGTCCTGCCTAGGTCCTCCCTTGACTTTTGACTGACAGCAGGATGACATCAGACTTTGAAGTCTTCACTGCCATGGCCACTCTAGCTCACCTGGCCCATGCTGACCAGTTCTAACTGGATTCTTGTTTTTTAAAGAGAGAGGGAGAATTTTTTAATATTTATTTTCTAGTTTACGGCAGACACAACATCTTTGTATGTGGTGCTGAGGATCAAACCTGGGCCGCACGCATGCCAGGCGAGCATGCTACCGCTTGAACCACATCCCCAGCCCATCTAACTGGATTCTTAACCGTACATTCTTGCAGATTTTATGGTTAGGAGGAAATGTTCTTGTCTCCCTTAGTTTCAGGAGCTGGTCACAAACGTCCCCTGGGTTCTTCCCTGGACAGTATCTCAGGTCTGCATTTCTCCTGCAGCTAACAGGTAGTTTGCTGAGGAATGTGACTTAGCCTGTCACCAGACCAGGCCGGGCTGCAGGTAAATGGCTTCTTGGAAAAGAAAGCCCGTGGGGGTCAGCACCCTTGGTGGTCCACAGAGTCCCTCTCTCACCTCGTGTCCCTACCCTGCTTCTCTATCTGGTCCCCGACACCAAGAGAGCTGAGCTGAGGAGAGCAGGGTGCTGGCAAGGACATGCTTCTCTTGGGCCAGGTGTCCTCAGCACCCCAGGCTTCCTACTGCCACATCACTCCTGGAGGTAGATGCTCTGGACTTAACTGGACAGTGTCCAGGACAGCGACATTCCCTCTGGCTGCACAGATGTTGAGCACACCCTCTCACACTCACTCCCACAGACTACCTGGGCTGGGAGTCAGCACCTCTAATCTGCGGCCCCCAGAAGTGTTCATCCTGGTGGCCAGCCATTGAGGACATGGATTTGGATCAGCTGGACCTGAACCCCAGGATTATTGCTGCAGTTAAGAAAGGTATTTTAACTTGCCTAAGACTGAAGTGTCACGTGGATACGTGGGTGTGTGAGCAACTTGATGTAGAACAAGGTCACAGAACATCGACTTTCCACCGTGTTCCCGAGACCCCGACCCCGACTGTGGCCTCAGCATTGGGACATGCTGGGGCTTCTCCATGTGCATTGATGGAAGGGACTTTTGAGGTCCTTCCCATCACTGCACACGTGGGTGTGGCCTAGGAAGGAGAGCGGGTCACCTGTTCGCTGTGGCTCCTCAGCTGCTCTGCAGTCTGCACAAGCTGTCTCCAGGCACTGTTCCTGATCCCCTCGCCTTTCCTGTCCCCTGGAGCCTCAGGACACTTGGCACACTTAAGGCCTTGCTCTGCTGCCTGTTGGCCTCTTGTCCTGCTGGTGGTGGCCTCATGATCGTAGGGTGGCTGCGGTGGCTGCAGACACCACACTTGCAGTCTGGGACATCTGCCATCTGCTGGCTGTCCCCAGAGCCTCCCTCAGGCAGCATTGCTTGCTGGGAAGCCATCTTCCCCTGACCCCTCCTGTCCTCTGCAGATCTCCTTCAGAGTGTGCTTCAGGAGTTCCGTTCCTGTGGTCAGTCCCACCTGTTGGGACTGGAGCCTCCTGTCAGTGGCTGGTGGTGGTATCTGGCTCCATCGCCCTCTCCCTGTGAGGCCTTTGTCCTCCTCTCTGGTGTTCTGTCCACTCCCCCATCACCTGGGCGTGTGTGCAACATTGTTTTTCTTTCCACTAGTGCAGAAGTGGAGAGCCATGCCTGCCCAGCCCAGAGCCATGGAGGCCGCCCGCAGCCCACCTGCCAGTGGCCCCTCCCGCCTCCCCTCC